CCGCCAACTCTGGGGATACTCTTTTACCAATGAATTGTGGGATTGACCGTAACATTATAACACCCTCACGGCTGAAAGGGCCAGCATGTTTGGTGCAACGGGGATTCGAACCCGCGACCCTCAAATTACGAGTCGAGCTTCTAACCATCTGGCCATGCCGGGCCGCGAATTATCTCCATGGACATTCTCAATTTCTTACATTTTAATACCGGAAATAAAACCCAACATAAAATATGTCATTTGATCTATACTAAGGGTTTTAAGTGATGATTTATATCTATATCTTCCAGAGATGTAGTGGTGCCAGAGTGCCCCATATCGCCGCTCCGGCAACTGAAACTGGGGTTGAGTCCCGACACTTCAAAAACTAAAATTGTGTATTCATAAAAATAAGTTATTCATTTTTAAGTGTATTTCGTAGCTAAATTCTCGAAGTGTCAGATAACGCTCTGGCTGTTTGTGACCCCCCTCCCCTGTGTCCACTGGTGTAGCTCTCTCAGATTGCCCAGCACACACTTTGTCACTCTCCCCCAGAAGTTGGCGTCAGACACCGTGCGACCATTTCGGCTCAGTAGCATGTGTCAGAGCGTTAAAATGGTGAAAGTTTTTGTTGTACGTCATGTGGTAATTAAGACACATGCATATGATATTTAAATACTTAATAAAATACTTTTGACAATTATACTGTATATTTAAAGCGTACACATTTCGAAAAGGCTTATCATTTACATAATATACAACGAAATTCGCTATTTTTTTAGTCATTCATGTTGGCAGAACAGTAAGTATGCAAAGCATTATAAAAGTCAAAGTTGTCAATAATGTTGTACAGATAGATATATTGTAGACTATTAAAATACGTGTTTTAAATTTTTGTTTTAATGTTAGTGATTTTTGTATGGTACCCAGTTGTTTTTTGATGTTGTTTTTTTACTTTTTACTTAATTTAAAGGAATTTGAGTTGTGTGTTTTCTCTCTGTAATATATGCGTACTCAATTTAACACTAATGTAAGTAGTCTCAAATAATGCTGAATATATTTTCTTTATTTCAAACGAACTCACAAAAACGGAAATTTGGATTTGAATATGAGATCTTTAACCTAATTGTGACGTCACTCGTCTGACAAATTTTGACATGGATTATGTATTATAATATTTAGCACTACACCATTAACACTATCCCAAAGTGAATTATTGTTGTGCTTTTGGTTTGTTCAAGATTTAATTTTTAATATTTTACTTTATAATGTTTGACATCTTACAGAAAGAATTAAATAAACATCAACAAATTCCAAATAATTCTAGTAAAATACAATACTATTAGAAAAGAGTCTGTTGGTGTTTGTTCTCAAGACATTTCTAAAGTGAAATGAATGTCAAGCACAAATTACACAATGTATATTTGAAGGTAGATACCACGCGCTGTTTTCGTATCATCAAAGGCTTATTTAATTTGTGGGACAATTTTGCTCTTATTTTACTCTGCTCCTGACTAAATTAACTTTTTTTAATGACTATTCTAATTTCCGCTGGTTGAAATATAAGGCAGAAAAATTGAAAACAAATTATTTATTAATCTAAGTATTTTGAGGTTTCATAAGAAATCCTGCATTTGTATCTTATATGTATACAGTTGTTGATAAGAACGTCTAAAACTTCCTACCTCTCTAATTTCAATTTTTCCATCTTTATTGTCATCATATGCTTCCATGAAAGATTCTTTCAGTTCGGCCATCATTGTCTCAGACACAGTCTTAAAAAAAAAAAGATTTCATAAATATGTGGGCCTTCTTTGAAAAAGAAAGTCCAGAGAAGTAAAAGCAACTGAAACACATAAATATTTAAACTAACGGGGAAAAAAAAGACAGGGTCAAAACGTTTTTACCTTTAGCAGTCTTAATATTCAGAACGCTTCCTCGAGTTCCCTCAAATGCATGTCCAGTGACACGAACGCGAAGGCAGGAGAGGGAGAGGGGTGGTGGTGGTAATAAGGCAGTTTTCTTATTGTTTTTATACAAATAATTACAGGTGAGGCTAGAAACATAGGTTAGGTATCTTTATTATTTATAATGTCGTTACATTTTTCCTTTTCATTTTTTCATAAAGTAGTTGAAAGTTCACTGAAAAAACTTCCTACATGTATCAAACATTGAATATATTTTCAACTCACGTACATAACTCTATGCTACAATATTCTTAAACTAGATAAATAAATTATGGGGAACGTAAACATCACAAGATTTTTGGGAATGTTTAGTTTACCCCTGTATTGAACAACAAAAAAAGAAGTTTAACGCATCTTAAGTTCATTAACCACAAACTAATATATATATATATTCATTATGAAATTTTATTTTCATAAATTAATTTTATAATGTGTATGGAAACGAACATCCCACTGAGCAATTGTTGTTTTTTTAAAATATTTTTCGAAAAACTACAGAATGACTATCTGCACATGAACGTTCCTAATTTTGAACTGATAGACTTGATGGATGATAGTTAATCAACAACAGCCACGCCAATTTTTGGGTTACTCTTTTTTTACCGAATAGTAGCATTCGACTTTTGCTCTTATAACACACCCACAGCCAAAAAGTTCGGGGCACTTTTTTTTTGCGATCTAGGGTCTCAAGCCATGAACCCTCAGATTCACAGTCCGAGTAGGACATATACTAGGCTATGCCCGGCCCTTGTATCGACCTTAAATGATAGTTTGGTTGTAATCTCTTAGCTCTAGGGATCTTACGAGATCTTGCGTAGCACTAAAGTGTTTACAAACTGTAATACTCAAAGTAAAACTGTAAGTAGCTTGATTTAATTGTAAAACAAGACCGAATTAACCTCAGCTACAAACTTGTTCTCTGCCAACCATACTTGGCCAGGGTGAAACAATTAATTACATGAAGTTAGAGCTATTTGATAACTTAAAAACGATTTTACTATCATAGAAAGAAATCTTTTGTGTGTGTATTACACCCTGTGATTATGATATGCTCCCTCTGAGTTAAGGGAGAGGGGCAAAAAGAAAGCAGTGGTGTAACAAAAGCGTTTCTCAAATACTGCAAGTAATTCGACCTGTACACCAATATTGTACAAATATTTTTTTAGTTTTTTCATATGTTAACAGGATTTTATTTTCAGAAAAAAAAGACATCTCTAATCATTTTGTTATTTCTGTTGATTCGAACTTTCGCGCTAGAGGGCTGTTAAGACCTCCTCTATATACAGAAAGAAGATTACATTTGGATATTAAACATGTCCATACACATCAAATTATACTTTATTTCTCATCTAGGAAATATTCTGTTATTTCCTAGTATGTAAAAAGAAAAATGGAAAAGGAATTTTAATAACATACCTCTGACCCCACATCTGTGACGTTGACGCTAGACACGAATTCTGTCAAGAAGTTGTCCAGCTCTCTGCCCTCAATGTAACCATTGCCTGAAGAAAAGAACTCGTTTATATATATAAGATATAAACAAGATAAGGAAAAAATTTTTATTAGTTATTAAATACATAAAAAGACGTGTGACTGTTTTTTGTTTATCATTACTTTGTTTTATTATCAAACTAAAAAAATATTAAAAACTTATTTATCAAAGTGAAAAACAATGATGGACTGAGGATAGTAAAAACAGTAGTAAGTTTTGAAATTGCGAAGTTGAAATATTTAATCGAATACACAATTTTGTTATATCAAAATGACTCAAAAATCTGAATATTCATGTCAGGAGGTTTTGATGAGGAAAACAATAAACATTTATGTTCTGAGAATTGGTATATAATTATGAATTGACTGAAAATTACAAAGAATATTGTTTACGTATCGCTATGGCATCTTTCTTTTCGGAAAATATAAAAAATATCAAACTGAAATAAAAATATAAAACTGAGACCTCGTTACTGTAAACTCCTGGAGCGAGAGTGCAATCAATCAACACGTTATACCCAAAATTACAATATTACTGATTGAAAATAGTAGAAATGAAATCACACTGCCTAGAACTGAAAATCTATAATTTAAATATGTAGTTACAAAAACATAATAACAACTAGAATCTTAATTTTCCGAAGAGTTCGATTTCCTTTGAAGACGCATAATGTGAAGGAACATCATACTAGGCAGCCGATTGATCCTAAGCGCGTGACTGTATTAACCCATTTGCTTTCCATCCAACAACATGCAGTTAAAAAAAGCTGTTCAACTATCTTTATGCTAAGCCTAAAGAAAGTTTTTTCACTGAATATTACAGTTAATAAATTCAGCTGGAACACATATCTATAATGTTAAAATTGTTACTCATAAATACCGTGTAACTCCTTCCATTTTCTGACCTGGCTCGGTTGGCCTCGTGTGCTCTGTTATTAGCAGAAAGCCTTGGTATTGTTTTCAAACAATAATAAGATAAATGCTGTTGAAATATTGTTCTGTTTGGCATAACCATCAAATGAGAGTCTCGTGATTAAAATATAACAGCAATCTATGGTCACCTGCTTCCTCACATCTTCTGGCCTTCACAACATCAGCAGTGTACTGCGACGTACTTTTTCATATCTTCTGGCCTTCACAATAACAACAATACAGTGAGTAATGTGATTTACCACACATTATGGCCTTCACAATAACAACAATACAGTGAGTAATGTGATTTACCACATATTCTGGCCTTCACAATAACAACAATACAGTGAGTAATGTGCTTTACCACACATTCTGGCCTTCACAATAACAACAATACAGTGAGTAATGTGATTTACCACACATTCTGGCCTTTACAATATCAGCAGTGTACTGTTATGTGTTTTCTCATATTTTCTGACTTTCATAACATCACCAATGTACGTTGATGTGACTCTCCACGTATTACGGCCTTCACGACATCAGCAGTATACAGTGTTGTGTTTTCTTACATCTCGCTTTCTTGACATCAGCAACATACAGCGATACATTCTCTCATATCTTCTGGCCTTCACAACATTAGCATTGCACAGTGATTTGATTTCCCACATATTCTGAAACTCTCTACACATTCTGGTCTTCACAACATCATTATTGTACAGTGATGTAACTTTCCACATAATCTGGCCTTCACAGCATCATTATTGTACAGTGATGTAACTTTCCACATAATCTGGCCTTCACAACATCAGCATTCTACAGTGATGTAACTTTCCACATAATCTGGCCTTCACAACATCAGTATTGTACTATATGTGTATGTGTGTGTTTGGGCAGAACGTACGATCACAAAAACATAAATGTATTGTGACACAAAAGAACAGCTGTAGAAAAACAGAACGACCTTTCCTTTCCTTTATAATCTATATATAATAATGTTAAAAATCACTTCAAGAAACTAAAAGAAGAGAACAAAATGTAAAACTATAATATTTTTCTAAAAATGTAATCAGTTTCGTAGCGACAGTGAGTCGTAAAGTTAACACACATATGACATTAGTTTAACACACATGTGCCTTTCGAATAAACTTACTAATGTGTAACTACTTCTACTACGATCTCTATATGAGTTGGAAAGACTGTAATTTTACACTTTATTCTACACAAACACACACATTGTCTAAAAGTTTTATTTACTTATTTTGTAGTTGCAGTTTTAAAATATTTTTTCTGATAGTTCTTTACCGATACATGATCACGACTTCAGGTTGATACGCCCAGCTGTTAAGGTCATTTTGTTTGGATTAGTTAGGTTAGGTAATTTGTACTTTTAAACCCAACCAAAATTAACTAGCTGTTTCGAAGTGCTTCATATGATTTCGTTTTGAAGAGTGAATAATACTCTAGGCTTAGATTTCCAACCGTGTTCGTTATTCTGAAGGGCTGTAATGAAAATCTTAATTTAAAATATCCCCGCTTTGTTTACAGTTATTTTCAACCGTAATTCCAAAACATCATATAAAACTACA